CCTCTGGAAGACATTGTGATCATACAGTATGATGATTAACTGTACCAAATGTTATTGACTGAGCAGAACTGTAGTAATGTGTCAATAGCTTTTGAGTTCTGTTTTCCAGAATACATCTATTACAAATTATATCATTTGGATGTGTCAGGGAAGTTTGTAATTTCCTCTGTTCTGTCTCACCGCAGCAAAAATTTGAAGTGACAGACAGACCAGTGTTCAGTTCAGTTCAGTCACTCAGTCATGTCCGACTCTGTGTCCCCATGAACCATAGCACGCCAGGCCTCCCTGTCCATCACCAACTGCTGGAGTCTATCCAAACCCATATCCATTGAGTCGGTGATGCCATCCAACCATCTCATCCTCTGTCATCCCCTTCTCCTCCTGCCCTCAATCTTTCCCAGCATCAGGGTNGAGTTTATTGATATTTCTCCCGGCAATCTTGATTCCAGCTTGTGCTTCCTCCAGCCCAGCGTTTCTCATGATGTATTCTGCATATAAGTTAAATAAGTAGTTACAGCTCAGTTTTATTTGGCAAACAAAGGAAAATACATCCTCCAGGTGTGAGGGCTCAATTTTGTCTCCTCTTTTTATATGTTTTTTCTCCTCCCTCTGAGCCTGCCTTATGTAAATTGGGCTAGCCAGGAAGGCTGTTTGTTTTACCTGAGGTTCTCACTCAGGTCCTTGGACCTCCCTTTGTTCTATTTTCATGGGCTTTTCCCTTCTTTGTTTTTTAGCCACTGCCATTCTGGACTCCTTTTTCCTATTCTAACCAGCTAACAGGTGGAATCTAGGAAACACTCCCTACAGGGCTACATAATAATGTGGCATATGAATCCCTGTAGGTGGATCAATATGTAACTATAAACCTTGAAGACTGAATGGAAGAAAAAATTTGAGTTATAATGGAGAAGATGTAGCAGTAGGTTGCCTGATGAAATGTAGAGTACAATTATCACTTTTTTTTTTTTTGCTATAAATGGAAAACCAATAAACAGAATAGATGAGTGTGTGTTTTGTTTGTTTGTTTGTTTGTTTTTAGAGTGTGAGTTTTGATGGGATTAAAGCATTAGGCATATCATGGCGGATCAAATTACCCTGAGGCCCCACCCTGGGATGAGAGAGGCTATGAAAGTCCTTATGGCATACTCAGGGGAAATAACATCAAAATGTGACTACTAGTGTCTCTTCCTACTATATGGGTCCCCATTATTGAGTACAAAACACGTATTCTGACTGCACTCAGGTGATTAGTACACAGTGGCACCTGTGATAGTTCACACAAACCATTTGGTGATGACACTGCTTGTAGACACTAATCCTTTAGCTGCTATAGTGATGGCTCTGTTCCTGGATGGTCATGGTCAGCGGTTATCTTGGTCAAAAGCTGCTCCTTACTGACAGGAGCAGTGACAGTTCAGGAAACCTAACCTGTTTAACCAACGTGATGATGGCTTGATTCAGTAATCCTTTATTTGCTGGAACATAGCTAGTAACTCTGTCACAGGTTTCACATATCTCCACTTCCTCTTCCTCCTCATTCTCCTATTCTTCCTCCTTTTCCATTTATCAAACCACATTCTTGAAAAGCATCCTGATAATTTGGCCAAGACAAGCAAGGGAGATCTACCAGTATTACTTTAGATGTTTAATTGGCAACAATTAGCCAGCCCTCCTGACCACAGGAAGACTTTGAAAAGACATGAAAGGACTATTCAGTAAATGTATTGACAACATGTCAGTGTACCAATGTTGGGGAGTTAAGAGGTATACATTGGGGAGCAAGCTGAGGTGTCTGAACAATTGAAGGAGAAGACAGAGAATAAACATTAACATAATTTTTTACTTATTGTCTTATAGAAGCCTAAAACATCTTGGGAAAGAGTAAAAGAAAGCAAATGTATCAGATCAGCCCTAAGTTCATAATTACCCTAGATTTCAGACCTTTAGTGTTCTGATTCTCTCTCCCCTTACAAACTTGCTTTCAATCATTTGTATGTGATGGTGTGAGTCTTACACAGTATCTTACATTTATTATTGTTTCACACAATTTAAACCTGAAATTTAATTGGAATACAAAGATTTATTTCCTGATAAAGAATTTTAAGCACTTCATAGCAGTCTAAGGAAGCATAGGGGTGAGGAATAGAGGGTTCCTGAGTTCATTAAAAATGTATTTCCACATTCTACAGTAATATAAACCTAGTATTATAACTTATTTCTAAACTAGACAGGAACCCTCAAAAGCCAAGGCCCACCATAAAGAGCCTGAGTGCCCAAGGGGACATCACAGAAAAGAGGACTGTTCAACTCTGGGAAAGAACAGGGGACTATAGAAGCAAAGCCTTATAGAGGGCTAAATCTATAAATCAATGAAAGGCAGAAACAAGACCTTTGGTCAGGGTTGGAAAACATACTAGGGCACTGTGCACAGAATGTTAGTTATTCCCTAAAGGCTCATTATATTTGTCAAAATTATAGATCACATGAATCTTGTAATATTAATAGTTTTGCTTTAACTTCAATTCATACTAACTTCTTGAATTTCTAATTTAATTGGCCACAGAAAATCATGTACATGAAATTACAGATGAAATTGTATATCACAATGCATATATTATATATATATATATTTTATAAAGAAAGAGTGAGAGACACACAGAGAGACAGAGAAAGAGAGAGAAATAACTGAAGTTGGAAAATTCAAACTCTACAGAGCCAGAATCCTGCTGAAGGCCAACAGGCAGGGGAATTATCTCTTACCAGGAGAGGGTGAGTCTTGTTCTATTCAGGTCTTCAATGCACTGCTGAGAACTACCCACCTTATAGAAGGCAACCTCTTTTATCCAGGCCACTTATTTAAACATTGCATGTGCCTGCTAAGTCACTTCAGCTGTGTCCAACTCTGTGCCGCACTGTGGACTGTAGCCTGCCAGGCTCCACTTATCTCATCCACAAACAGCCTTAGAGAAACGCACAGGATAGTGTTCAACCAAATATCTGGGCACCCTGTGCCAGTCAAATTCACCCATAAATGAACTGTCAATCCTTCCAGCACACTGACAAATTTCATGAAGAAAGCAGAGCAGGAAATAGGATCATTTGATTTATATTCCACTGTGACTGATATGGAAAATCTTTTAACATTTTAAAATGGATTTTGAAATGAATTGAAAGTATATTAAAATTATTATTAAGATGTTATGCATAAATGGCAATTAACTACACTGAATGAATTATTAATAAAGTTATTTCAACTTTCATATATAATTAGATGCTTGATTGCCCTTGCTTTCTAGATTAGGTTTTCCAATCATTTCCAAGGGGCAGGAAGCCAGAAATTTTGAACAATTCTCTAAGTTTTATTCAAAAGTGGAAGGAATAAAGAGGGGCCACTTGGGAGAAATTATGTAGGAGCAGGTGGTATGTCAAGTTGGGGAGTTATGATCAAAAAACTTGCTTTCAGTTGTAGATCTAGGGCCTAAGCTACTGGAACATCTGAATTGCTATAGGTGATGTTACACTCGTATTGAGTTCTCTGTGATCCAAGGTAAAACAGACTTAAAAGGGTCAGAGGAATTTGCTTGATGACCTGTTTTTTATGGGGCATGGCAGTGAAAGGAAGATTCTACAGTTTACCACTTCACTGAACACATCTAAGTATCATGACGGGAAGGTTACTGAGGTGATCTACAACCCACCCTCCGTGCATTTTATAAGAAGAAAGGAGACTTAGATTAGCAGGCCATGGATCAAGGGGGAAACCATTATAAGAAGAACTTGAGGTAAAGAGAAAGCTGTCACCAGGCATCCAGGCCCTTTTCAACTCAGTATGTACAACAAAATGGCAACCAGTTCAAGTGGAACAAGATAGGAAGTTTTATAACTCAAGGAAGGTGAAAGACAGAAAAGAGCCATCTTCCTCAAACAAGAAGGGGAGCCTTTAAGCACAAGTTAGAGAACCTGCCAAATCCTCCCACTGCTGAAAATCCCTGAGAGTTAAGGCAGAGGCTCTGTGAGTCATGAAAACATAAGCCAGTGAAGAGATCCTGGAGCAGGATGCTTCCTCTTCTCAGAGTCCCTGTCAAGCCACTTATGGATGGATTTGCATTTGCTTGGGAAATGACTGAACCAGGCCAGTTTTGGCAGCTTCACTTCCCCTGGGTGGGGCAGTAAGCCCCAATAAAAAGGCCTTCTGCTGCACCACCACCATCCTCCTGCTAAAGTCCCGACTGAGTTTGGAGAAACTGGTGAGTCTGATCCTTCAGTTCTACTTTGTCCTGGGGCTCCCAATGTTGAATTTATGCTGGAGAGAACAAATACGCTGTGTCCAAAGTTATGATCATGTATTTAATGCTACTTTGTTGATGGTTGATGGGAACTTGAAATTTAAACTGAATGATATATGATATTTATTAAGTTTCTGGTACACAGTTCAAATTCTCTTATTGAAATATAAAATAAATANAAAAAGAAGTTAATAGATAATCTTTGACATTAAGAGGTAAAGAAGAAAGTATTTTTCCTTTTTTGATATCATTTTGGGGTCCTTCTGTTGTGATTGAAGAGGCATTTATCCTAGAAAGTATGAGGCCCTTGTATCCTTCCTGGTGGCCCTTTGCTCTGTACATGTCATACTGCTGGGATCTCATGAGAGATAATGAAGATAGGAATTGCTTGTGAGCTTGCCCCAGATTTTAGAATTTGTGATGGACTTTTTTTGAATGTGTTGTTTTAATTAAAAAAAAAATATCGCTTTGTTCTTTCAAACAAAAATATTTTCTTTAGAAAATTTGTATGAGCAAAGAGAAGGTTTTCTCTGGGCTGATGAAACAATTTCCTAAGAGAGTGAGAGAAGCCAGAAATTCATTAAAAGGGATTAAAGAAATTAAAGCACATTCTTAGAGATTGGCTACTAGCTGACGGTATTACATAATTTCTGCTGCATCCTTCTGTAGTAATTCCTTCTTGTGAACACTGTCATGTAATTTTTTTCAGATTCTAAGATTCCAGAAAGATGTCTCAGCAGCAGCAGCAATGCAAGCAGCCCTGCCAGCCACCTCCAGTAGTGTGCCCTCCCAAATGCCCTGAGCCTTGCCCACCTCCAAAGTGCCCTGAGCCTTGCCCACCTCCAAAGTGCCCTGAGCCATGCCCACCTCCTCAGTGCCAGCAGAAATGCCCTCCTGTGCCACCTCCCCAACAATGCCAAGAGAAGTGCCCACCCAAGTGCAAGTAAAAACTTTAGCTTTTACCTGGCTTAGGAAAGGATAAGGACAGTTGACTCACCTGGCTCCACAGCTCTACCTTCGCCTTCTCTTCAAATCCTATCATGGATACAGAAGGAGCTTCTTCACCCTTCAGCCAGCAATATGCCTGTGGTGATTTCAGACAGCTAGAGGCTTCTTTTCTGAAGTTGCTATACTGCTTTGCTCTTGGAAGTGCCCAAGAAAGCATCACAGAGCTTCAGATGGAAGAACAGCAGCTCCTCTCCTGGGTCCCATCAGAGGATTCACTCACTGTCTTCTGTGTCTGTCACCTGGGCAGGGGTTTCTACAGGCTGGGAAATTGTTACTTATCCTCTACCTCCTGAATAAAGTAGAATTTCTTTGTGTGATGTTTAAAATGCTTTCTTTCTTTTAAAAGTTGCTTTTAGCAATATTATATAATTGTTTTGGTTTACTTGTATTCTTCTTTGATACCAAGGTTCAAGACCTCACAATCATTGTTGCCTGAATTTTGAGCGACATAACAGATTTTTTTAATATAATTTCTAATCCATATTACTTATTTATTTGAAGATTGATTGATTTGAGAAATTTTAAACCCCTCAGGATTTTTGTTTCTTTACTAAAAAGTGGGGAAAATCTTAGACATATTGCTCACTTGTCTGGGGCATACGAATTAAATGAATATATTTAATTTAGTTGGCACATTGCTAGAGGCAGAGTTAGCACTTAGCGAGGCAGTAAATCATCATTGTCTTAGTCATCACCAGCATCACTACTGTCATCAGCATCACCACCATACTTGTTCCAGCAGGAAAGTGGCTCAGACATAACTAGTATAGCAAACAGAAAGATTCTTCAACTTTATTACTCTTTCCTAATTTGTTGCTCCTTTTCTTCTTCATTAACCTTATTTTTAATGTGATATTGCAAATATAGAGTTTGGGGGAATTACTGGAGTATTTTTGCATAAAATTATAGTGGTTTTTAAAACACAGGTAGTAGAGAAGAAAGAGAAATTAAAAAAAGAAAAAAGATCCTTATCAGGCAAAGTGCTGTCTCCTCTCCGTGTGTATCACCTGCTCTTCTTTCTCTAACAACTCATCCATGGTCTGTCTACATGTTTTCACCTCTGAGATTATTTTTTTATTGAAGAACACATTGGTTTTTGCAGTGTTTAGATTTGTAAAATTACAGTCGCTATGTACCCTTTTTCTTTTCTTTTTTTCCTTTTTTTTTTTCTAAGTGTTTAGCCTACTATCAAGTAAGCTGGGAAATGAGGGATATTTTCTTTAATTATATCTTTTTTTGTGGTTCTAAGTTTCCATTTAAAGAATAGTCAACTCAGACCATACACTCACACACACACTGATAAATAGGATATTATTTTTTAAAATGATAAAGTCTTTGTATTAAATCATATTATGCCTAAATATACTTAAGATTAAAAGGACTTTTCTTTATCTACATTCTTCACTCACAAAGCTATAATTAAAGGATGCTATGATAATAGAAGTGAAGATGGAGAAAGATTCCAGATTACAGCTCAACCCTCCTCAGACTATGACGTGTGTGTGTGGAGG